GTATCAGAACATTTCATGGAGAACGGACGCTAAATCCTGGGGGATGTGGAAAGTTACCATTTGGGGTAGAGCAGGTATTCCATAAATATTGGCTGACTTGTTGACTGCCTTCACCCACCAAGATTTCCCACAGAACTATGTTCTGTCAGGTCCTGCCAATCATGCAAGCCCACTCTTGGCTCTAATCATGCTCTTTGGAAAATAACATTCTTTTTCTAATTCATTCAATAAATCACCTATTGAGCACCTACTATGGGCCAAAATTGTTCTTGGTCTTTGAAATATATTAGTAAATCAGAGGGGGAAAAAAAAAAGTTCCTGCCTTCATGGAGCTCATCTCCAGTGTGGGACAAATAATAAATCATGGCTATAATACATAAGTAAATTATGCTACACATTACAAACTAAAAAAAGCAATGGAGAAAAAAATTCAAGCAGGTAAGGAGGATGGGTGGGAATAGAGGGTAGGTTATAAAAACATTTTTTTAAGGATGTCAGGATAAGCCTCACGGAGGTGAGATTTCTAACCCAGTGGTTCAAGGTATAATCATAGCAAGTTTGTACTCACACATTTTCTAAAGGACACAAAATTTCCCACTGGACTAAGCACAAGACAGGATTCATCCCTCAGTGAGATTTGTGATTTCCCTAATGTTCTCTCTCCATCAATGGGCTTCCATCCTTCCAAGTCCATAACCTGTTCATTCTGAAACTCACCCCCCGAATGAAAACAGTTGCCAAGTTCCTTAGATTCTACTCCCTGTCTGCTTCCTGTATCTCAACCCGTACCCACCATTTCTGCTGTTTCTGCTTGGTTCAGGCCTTCATCTCAGGGAGCTAAAAAAATGTTTGTAATAGTTTACTAATTTAGACCTCTCTAACTTTGCTCCAGGTGAGGATTTCAGCTTGTAGGTCCTGGCGTTTATACAGTTTAGGTTCCTTCTTTAAGAAACAAATACAAAATCATGAATATAAATTTATATCACAGTATGACCTTTGGCCCTACATCTGTGTGTTATAACTGCTGGTTGGGTTGTAAGATCATTACCAGAAGGTATTTCTATACTAAGATGGCTGGCAGTAATTTAGCTATAGACAGATGTGACTATAAGCTATTTTAACATG